TTTAAATATTGAAGAACTTAATATTTTTTTAATAGTTAATATAGTATAATTTGATATATTTTAAATTGTATTACACTTTTTCAAATTATATATATAAGTTCATTGTTTTATAATTTATACTATTTTAAATTATATAACAAAAATTTTAAATTGAAAAAGAATTTCAATATTAAAGAGTTCTCTTCAATCTAAAAATCAATATTTTACAATTCAAACTATAAAATACTTTTTCGTATATACATTTTGCAATTTCGTAATATTTTTTTACCCTCACCGAAACAACTTGTGCAAATTCAAGCTTGTCCACACACCCATGACTAGCTCAACTTATTTATAATATTGTCTCAATTACCAAATTACTAGATGCACAGATGGACTCATAAAACAATTTCATTCAACCACCTTACAATTAATATGCACAATAGTTGGATGCCAACACACCGACATGACCAAGCCTTATGTACAGAAAATCTCCCATCTTCGGAAACAATTTCTTCACACCGTATGCTCATGAATATAGAGACGCTTTGCAAGCTAACATCCTGCATATGTATTAAAAAAAGAACAGCCATCCTTTCTTCCAAGTAAATGTTGTACTAATATAAGATGTTGGATTTTTTCATAAGATATCTCAAAATCATAGTAATTTTTAACTTTTTTTTTTTTTATCTATTTCTAGCGAAATTTGAACTAGTTTTCTAAAGATAGCATGTTCCTATTCCAAAGCTTATGAAAACTTAAGATAGTTAATTTTGCTCTAAAGGTATATGTTAATGGTATATTTACTATATTGATTAAAAAAATAGTATCTTATTGTTCCTCTTTTATTAATTAAAAAATAAAAATTAATATTAATTTTAATAATTGTGGAATTAAATTCATGTAAGTAAGAACAATATTAAAATTAATACTAATTTTTAATTTCTATGTAAATTAAAATAAAAAACTAATAAATGCAACCTCAATCTCTACCTATAACTTAGAAAAGAAAATGTTATAGTTACAATTTTATTTGATATTATAAATTTATAATATTATAATGTGTTATTATATAATTGAGTGTTTTTATTTAGAGATACATTTGTAATATTATATATATTAACTTATTTAATTTTACATTATATTCATCTAATATCATATTATAATAATATATTTAAAATTTGATATAACATTATAATTATAAGATTATATACTAATAAAAACCCACCATTAATATAAAGCCACAAAGTATTTACACTAAGAGGAGTGGGTTGTCACCTTAGGAGGCAAAATCATGCTGGACTACTTAACCTTTTCTTTTAAATAAAGAATTTTTTTTAATATGTGTTCTAAGACTATATGTTAAGAATGTATTAGTTGTATTTTTTAATTAATTTTTACAAAAAAAAAAATAAGTAAACACTCATTATGTTTATTTTTAATAGTTTTTATTTACTTTTTAATTTTTTAGATATAAATTTTAGATAAAAATTTGACAATTCATATAAATAACAATTAAAATTTTTTTTCTATATATAGTACATGTTGATTATTTTTATTTTGATAAAAAAAATTTAATTAATTT